TAGATGAAGAAACAAAGAAGAAATTGAAGTTGACTACACTCCATCACAGGGTTTTCTCTCTCTCTCTCCTTGGCAAGAGCATGCACCCTCTGGCAATTTTTAAAAAGGGTAATATTTATAAAGGTTTTGGAGCATATTAGGCACTTATGTCATCATTAAATATTGTTAGTAACAGCCAGAAATCTTCACACATATTTTATTTTTTTACACATCTGTACTTAACATTTGCTTCATATATTTATGTTCATATTAACTCCTGTTTTATACAGTCGATTAAAGTGTATTTAATCCTTGCATTGCCATTATACAGCTCTGAGATTAAAACACAAGCAACAACAAGAAGAAAACTTCAGCTCTTACTAAGAAACGTTATTCAATTGTTGTTGGACTTAACCAGCATCTCTTTACCCTGCTGCCTGAATTAGTTAGACGTATTCTTTACATTTCATTTCACCAGAGTAATCTGAAATGAAAACTTGAAGCATATGCATAAATGGAAACCTGAAGTATTTTCTATGATCTTAACATACAATAAATCTTAATAAATTAATGTCATCTCTGGGCCACAGTAGAGCGCTAAATAACATTTGTTTTGAAATTGACCAAACATAATACCAAAATATTGTATTCATTACAAATCTGTTCTCATATAGGTTTTCACTATGTGTCTTTTTAGTATAGCTCTGCTGGCATCAGTTATCTGAAAACAAGCTCTGGCACAATCTACCACGTAGATTCGTGCAGAGAAAGGTTAAAACATTAACCGCAGAGTTCGAACAGAAACAACTGATACTAATCCAAAATATTTCACATGAAATTGTTATACATGCATGTGCATCTCTCAGCCTACCCCACCCTCTGATACCCTCCACAAGGTCCCACCCTGTCTGCTGATATTAAGTTTATTAGACTTGACTGAATGAAATCTTTTGATTTGCATTAAACAGGTTTTGTTTGTTTCTTTTGGCTTGAGATTCTGTGATCATTGAAAAATGGTAATGTCATGTAGACCAGCCAAACACTGAAGCTCATAAATATTGGATGTACTAGCATTTTGCATATTTTATACTTCTTTTGAATTTTAACATTTAAACTGAATACAATATTACTTACTTTCATTAGTTACTGAACTAGAAATAGAAATGTAATAGTGATGATATCATGGTTGTGATCATTTTAATATTAAATATCAACATTATGTGATAGTGTAAGAGAAAAACATACACTGTTCATTGCAATGGGGGTAGGGAAAAAGTCTGAAAACAACATAAATTACCTGCTAACGTTCAACTTGCCAACTGTTTCATTACAGTGAGTTATTTTGCTAAGACATACACTATTCATTGCAATGGGGGCAGGGAAAGTCTGAAAAACAACATAAATTACCTGCTAACGTTCAACTTGCCAACTGTTTCATTACAGTGAGTTATTTTGCTAAGGATAACACTATTACCTTCCACTTAATAATTACTCTTTTATGTGTTTTTTTTTATTCTTTTTCTTTTTTAAAAAATTTTTGGTGTTTGAAAAAACCCATACGTTTGGTCAACAGCTTGACTTCATTCATGAATTACATAAACACATAAATAAACACACATTTTATGCACTTATCTTATTTTCCCCAAAGTATTATCACTGTAATGCTGAGTGCACGTATTTTCCTGTGATTTCTGACACATTTTTGTCTCAAAATACAACAGAACAATAACGGACTCAGCTTCTCCCCGGAAGGAAACCAAGAAAGGTCTAATTAGCCACTCCAGCAGGCTTACATATTAAATGTGTGAGTCCTAGATCCCTAGAGTGAAAGAGAGGGCATTAGAGCAGGCCATCACCCTCCATCCAGCCCCCAAGGGTGCTCTGTCTCTATCTCTGTGGTGAACACACACACCCTACAGCAAAAATCTCTAAAAAAAAAAAAAGAAATAAAAATATAAAGTGTGTGAGAACTTCATGCCCCATGTAGAACACAACACCAGAGGCAAGATGATTCATAATAAATAAATAAATAAAGTTAAATCAAAAAATAAATAAAGTTAAATCAAAAAATTCTTTAAAACAAATTTAGTATTATAGAAAACCCTATGTTTAAAGACCATGGTTTGAGTCCTAGCTCTGTGCCTTATTATGTGATTTGAGAAATTAAATACACTTAGTTTTTGTTTCCTATATTTTAGACTAAAGATTTTAAAGAAGGTATTTCCTAGATTGAATGATCATATTTATTTAATGTATGGTAAAGAGTAAATTAACATAGAATAGTTGTTAGATGAAAAGAGAAAGAGTGATTAAATGCATGGCATAAATCATAAAATTTAAGAGGAGTGACCCTGTAGCCAAGTGATTAAGGGAACTGCATCGCACATGGTTCATTGCAGTTTGAATTTCAACACAGGAGAGTTGAGAAGCACAACAGGAGAATGTGACTGCTTGCTCAAAGTTCCACAAGATGGAGAAATAGAGAAGAAATTGCACATGACTATACACCATTGGGAGGCACTCTGTCAGTCTGTCTCTCTAGTTTCTATCTTGCATGTGCACATTTATATATATATACACATTTATATATATATATCACACCAGATACATATGCATGCATGCCCAAAGTCCGAGGAAAAGAATATAAGAGAAGGGATTGTCTCATGGCCATTCCTTTCAGGGAGTGATTTCTCATTTTCATTCTCTCTGTCTCTCTTCGGTGAAAGCATGCGCCCTATAGCAAAAACCTTTAACAACAACAAAAGAATAATTTAATAGAAACAGGAGACCATACAAATTAGGATTCCTAAATAAAAGTCACTAGAAATGTATTAATTTTCATTATTAGACTTTTAAACAAGAACAGAATTTAACAGAAGCAAGCACGTGGTCAAACTCTCTAAGTAAATCCCAGTCTATGATCAGATGTTGCACCATTTTGAATGACCCACTGAAAACATTGAATTCAAAGAGAAATGATTGAACTATATACCAATTAGGAATAACATGATTAATTCAGTGTTTCATGGTAGTCAGTTTTCACATGTTAGGTGTTATATAACTTACCCACACAAAGGGACTCTGTAATGTATTTAAGGTAGTTGGAGGAAAAGATAAATTAAAGACAGGAAGAAGAATTTGGAAATTAATAGCAGTTGTTACTGTAGTGAGAGGGTAAGTAAGAGACAAAAGTGATAACAGTGAAATCTGAGCTAAATTTCAAAAAATAAACTCAATGAACTGGTTTGCTTGTTTTACAAAAGAAGTATAGTAGAAAAATTCTCAAGAGCTGAGAATCTGAATGGAGGCTGGTGACAATAATAATATGGTGATAATGTTAATTCAAGGCATGTTTATACTGATGAAATGTTAAACATCCAACTAGAATTAACCAATACAAAAATTTGGGTCTAGTAGCATAAACTGGAGATACGTAAATATGTGTGATCCACAGTCATTCCTTCAAAGGAATTAGTTTAAAGAAAAGTTATTCTATTCCTAAAAACAAAGCAAGTAAGCCTTCAGATTCACGAGAATGCTAGGAAAGAGGGAGCTAGGAAACTAGGACAGAAAGAAAAGAGGGAGAGAGAGAGGAAAAGGAGGAAGCAAAGAAGTTGGACGGAAAGGCAGAAAAAAGAAAGGAGAGAAGGGAGGAAGTGAGGGGAGGGAAAAAGGAAGGAAAAAATTGTCTCAGAAATGAACAAAAAGAAGAAAAATAGATGTTTACAAATTGGGCCTTTGTTACTAACCCTCGTTAGAAAATAAGAATGTTAAAGAAATATGAGGTGGCTACAGAATTGATTCAAACAGAGCTGTAGAAAAAAGGCAAGAAAACAAGTCGTGAAATTAAAGAAGGCACAGTTATCATTAAAAAAATAATGATCTAAAGAGACCTCAGAAAGGCCGAAGAAGACAGAGGAAATGTTTTTTAGCTCAGGCAAGGAGTAAACAAGGACCCAGTTTCAATGGATTGTCAAGACTGAAGTTGGATTTGTGAAAGTGAGGTGGGAACAGGGAGATCTTTCATGAAAGCCCAGGCTGATATTTAGGCACCCCACTCCAACTCTTCCCTGCACACAAATCCTTTCTATGCTTCTGCTCTTCCAAAGCCTCTAATGTTTTATTTTTTTGCTTCAGTTCTTCTAATCTGTCCAAAAGCTCCTGGTACAAAATTCAACTCTGACTAAGTTGTAGATGGTGGAGAAGACATTAAGTGGGGTCTATTTACTCAGGTTTCCCACCCACAAGCAGTAATCAGCCAGAACTGCCTTTCGATTCTGCCACTCAAGTTGTTTTTACCCTACTGAATAAGGCATTTCAATACTCTCAAGGTTAAGAATATACTACTGACTATGCACACTCTATGGTAGAGACTGAAAGATCGGAGAACATAAAAGTATTAAAAATTGTAATGGACGCTAGAGACAAAGTGGAATGAGAGTGTGGGAGGGGAAGAGCATAGGAAAGGAAATTTGGGGTGCGGGGGAAGGAATGGAGATGCAAGACACTTGTAGGACACAGATAAGGTTTATTATCCAGTGACGAGGATGTGTATAATAGTCTCAGCTAGGCTGGACTGAGGTGTATATCATGCTGAGTAAAGTCTCTTCACAATCTAAATAATAAATAGGGATTGGGAACCAGCAATTAGCGTATTGGCTATGTCGCTGGACTTCCACGTAGTCAACCGCGGTTCGCGTCCCAGACTCGGTGACTAAAAACTCACGCCGGGTGTGTGTGCATATGTGCCCAAGATCCCAAGAGGAGAATGGAGGAGAAGGGATTGCGGCGTGACCATCCCCCTGGGGGATGATTTCTCACTTTCTGTTTCTATGTCTCTCTCTGTCTGTCTGGCGAGCGCACATGCCCTATAGTGAAAATCTCTCCCCCCCCAAAAAAAAGAAAAAAAAATAATAGATAGCGATTTAATGTATGAATAATAGTAAAAAAAAAATTTTTTTTTTAAAGAATACACAATTGACTGTTTTCTCCAGATTGGTCTGTAGAATACTTGCTAAAGTAGCTCATTAAGCTGTAACATATGATGAAGCCCAAATGACAGTACCTCATTGTGTGCTTAGTTTTTGTACTTATTTTTCAATTAGCAATAATCGCGCCTTGGATAAACTTCGTTGGCTACGATACTGCCACTGTGCAAAGCTAGTACTTATATTTTTCAGAAGAAAAAAAATACTACTGTAAATGATAAATAGTCAATACACAACTGTGTTGTATGCAAATCTGTGACTGTTGGCAATGTCGCACAGAAGAACATACAAAAAAAAGTTTATTTATCATTAAAAAAAATTATAACAGATGAAATATTCTGTTGTAGTCCTGGATAAAAACGCTGTGTAATGTTTAACTTAGTAAAATTTAGTAGGAGATATTTTTTAAAAAATGGGTTTCTTCAAGAAGAGGAAAATATATTCTAACTTTTTGCATTTATTATTTTTATTTCACAAATCACACAACTTATTGCCATATAAATAAGTTATTTTGTCTTTTCCCAATGTTTAAATAAAGGGAGACAGTAGACAATTCTTACAGGGAATATACTTAATATATGAAGTATATTAACTACATGGTAAGTTCCAATTTCATTTGGATTCCAATTATTAAAGCAAGGTTGCTCACTTAGAGTAGAAGCAGGTCTCTAAATATAAAGCTTAATTGCACTTTAAGCTATCCTTTCTATGATAGGTTCTGGGAAGACAGTTTGACCAACACAGTGGAGATCCTTGACCTCTTATCAAGGGCCCCTGAGACTAGTGAATAGTGCAGGTGTTGTTGGCTGGCAAGGCTTCAAAGGCTAGCTGAGGCCAGCAGGTAGTGTAGTGGTTAAGACACTGGACTCCCACATGGTACATCTCAGTTTAAGTCCTAGACCCAGAGCCTTGACTATCACTCTGGGTGAGTGTGTATGCATGCCCAAAATACCAGGAAGAAAATGGAGAAGGAATTATGGCATGGTCATCACCCCCTGGGGGGGGGGCAGATTTCTCACTTTCTCACTCTTCCTCTCACTGTTTTTCTTTGGTGAGTGCACGTGCTCTACGGTAAAAACCTAAAAAGGAAAAATACAAAGAGTAACTGGAAGACTGGCAGAGAGTAACCCTGCATAGTATAAGCACTCAGTTTATTTTTAAATTATTTTATTTAACTTTATTCATTTATTTATTTATTTTAATTTGACCAGAGAGGGAGATGGGGGGAGGGGGGAGAGAGAGAAGAAAGTGAAAAAGCAAGCCGCCAGGTCCAGGACTCAAACTGTGGTTGGCCATGTGGGAGTCCAGCACCCTTAACTACCACACCACCTGCCAGCCCCTAAGAACTCAATTTCGATTTTAGATGCTCTCATGGGATATCTTATTAGTCCTTGGAAAAGACATCCTTCACTTTTTCTTTTCTTTCTTTCTTTTTTATTTATTTATTTATTTTTTTTATCCTTCCCTTTGGGGAACTACTTTTTCTCTACCTCTATGTCTAGGATTAATATTTAGGATTCCCTGGCCCCAAGTTGACCAATTAGAGTACCTCTCCACCCTCACTCAGTGACCTACCAGTAAAATCATTAACCCATTGGACTAGATATGTCATTGGGAAGACAGCTAAAGATGTGTCTGAAAGAAAGAATGACCATTTTTCATCTTATTTGAATGAACTATGAAAACCAGGTCAGTATTCTCACCAGGAAAAAGGGGGGGGTGGGATTCTGGTCTACAGCCTGAAAAAAAAAAAAAAAAAAAAAAACAATCTCCAGAAAAGTAGGGATGGTTATTTATTATATCTTTGTAAATCTCTATATCAAAAGTCATCTTCTGTCCTGCCAGAGACTATGGAAGCTCGTATACATGAAACTGATGATTTGATATATTTTTTGTTTTTTTTTCCTGTAATACTCAGGTCAATATCCTCCTTTTCAGAGGCAGCAGGTACTTTAGCTACAAAGGTTATGCCAAACCCCAATAGCTTTGCTTCAGTGAGCTACCTTACCTAAGCTTTTACTTCCAAGCCCAATCCGGACAAAGTACAGTGATCTTTTCATGTATTCAGTGCTTAATTCTTTCCAGTTTTTGAATTTAGAAACCACAAGAAGTAGCCAAAATACTGTCTGAGATAGTATCTGTCATTTTATTATTCCCAAATAACCCAAAGATTACTCCCCTGGGACAAGCCATTAATTTCTTTTTCTCCAAATTGCTCAATGGTTTAGCATGAATGGTTTCTTAAAAACTGATCTTTAAAAAGGAGTCTTCTGAAATCCTGGGAAGATAACTTGGATTTAAACCGAAATAAATGTAGAATGCTTTTTCTGTCTAGCAGAGTTTTTCAGAATCCTTACCATTATTGCATCAATGCTGAAAAACAAAGATGGCATTTTACATCCAAGTACTCACTAATCTAGGAGATCTATAAAAGTATGTATGTACCCTCGGGACCAGCAGTTAGCGTAATGGCTATGTCACTGGACTCCCATATAGTCGACTGTGGTTCAAGTCCCAGACCCTGTGGCTTAAGAATCATGCCTGGGGCATGTGCGTGCATGCCCAAGATCCCAAGAGGAGAATGGAGAAGGGATTGCAGCGTGGCCATCGCCCCTGGGGGGTGATTTCTCACTTTTTGTCTCTCTTTCTCTCTCTGTCTTTCTGGCGAGCACACACGCCCTATAGCAAAAACCTCTCCAAAAAAGAAAAAAAAAAAAAAAGTATGTATGTACCCTTTATCCAGGGTGTAATGTACTGTCTTTTTTTTTTTAAGAGAGGGATTTTTGCTGTAGGGGGCATATGCTCTCCAAAGACATGGAGAAAGACAGAGAGATGGAAAGAGAGAAATCACCCCCTAGGGGGTATGGCCATGCCGCAATCCTTTCTCCTCCACCTCATCTCAGGATTTGGGGCACATATGCACACATACCTGGCGTGAGCTTAAGACACCAGTTCCGGGACTCAAGCTGCCGTCAACTACGTGGGAGTCCAGCGAGGTAACCATTAGGCCATCTGTTGTGCTCCCGCAGTGTGCTATCTTTAAAGTGTTTTACTGTCAATGATAGTATAAGAACTTTTGAAATAAGGCAATAAAAGAAAAAAATGTTCTCCCTAAAAATTGTTTTAAGGTGAAGGAAATTATTGCAAGAACATATGTAAATAACATTATTTCCTAAACAGAATAAATCACTAAAATTTTGACAATCCTGAAATATTCAGTCAAAATGAGGTATCTTCTAAGTATTTCTCTTAACAATATCTGTAATTAACACAAAGTTCCTGCTAATAAAGTAATAGACATTTATATTCACTGTTATTTACTGCACTACATTATCTATGCCTTTGTTTTATGTTCCTTTTGACTTAAATGTACTGAAAAATGAGAAATCCTTAAAATATATAAAATTTTACTAAATATACTATCTGTAGTAAACATCTAAAATAGTCTATAAAATTGGGATATATTTCTGTAGAAAAATAATGAAGTTTTATCTACCCAATAATTTGACTAGAGTTTTGCTTTTTAAAAAGCAAGTGAACTGAAGATTATTTCAAGGCTTATTTTATTCCCTGATTCTTATAAATATGAATATGAAAATGGTGAATGATATATGTGAACCAATTTAAATTCAGTCATTCATTCTGATTACTCAGAGTTGATTATCCACAATGTACAAAAATCTTAGTCACTTGAGAAAGTATAGGGGTAGCAGCCCTGCATTGTCTTGTTAGAATAAATAGTAGTTTCTAATACAAAATACCTCATCAAAACAAAATTAAGAGACCTGAAACACATTCCCGAGATTATTATCTCTTGCGCATTTTTATCCTGGCTTTGAGTCATGCTGTTTGTAATAGAACAAACACTATCACTGCTACCTCTTTTTGCCATGGTTATAATCTATTTTCTAATTTTGTTCATCACATGCTGTTCATCACATCCTTTATTTTAATGCCTTAATCTATTTCTCCTTCATAGAGCCGAAGCAATAGGCCAGTTTGAGATGACTCCTTTTGCTACCATTCCTTCCACTGTCTCAATTTTATGTTATTGCCTTAAAAATAAAATATATAGAAAAAAGTGTTTTTCTGGGTCTTACTACAAAATCAACTACCACAATTTTGCAGGCTTATTTACTAGTCTTCAAAGATGAAGCAGAAGCTCCAATTAGCATATAAGAAGTCTGCTGTAGCAGGTCAGGTATTCCTCTCTATTTCATCAAAATATTCTGCTCAAACCTTCTTTGTTGTAGAAATTGAATGACTTTTTTCTTTTTAGTTTAATTTTAACCAGTTTTAAATCTTCAGCATTATCTACATTATTTCTCCAAGCTTGTTTATAACATATGTTCTGAGTCACTCATTGAAGTCTGCATCTGTTCATTAGCTAGTATACTTTGTCCTCAATATCAACTCAAAAACAATTGGAGGTTAGTTTTAAATAATTAAACATTGCAGTAATGAATCACCTTCTGCTTCAAATTAGATTTTTTTCTTTCCTTAGAAAAAATTATGGCAGTACACTTAGTATATTGTGAGAAGTAAGTTTTTATATGTGTTTCTACGAGATAAGTCCATTTACAGGGAAATTAAAGGAATGATTATCACTCTCTGGATTCTATAATATCATATGTCATGCTTTAGAAAATAATAACCAGTACATAAATACATTTTTCTCTATATGGATGTTATACTTTAATTCACAAAGGATTTAAGTTTTCTGTCATGTTACATTTATTTTTTTGTTTTGTTCTTAAGAGTAGAAAGAAATAGTCAAACTGTTATGGTCTGAATGTGTCTGCCCCTCCAAGGTGATATTTTGAAATTGAATCAAATGTGATAGAATCAAGAAGTGAGACTTTTAGAAGGTGATTAGGACAAGAAGGCTCCACCTTTGTGAATGGATTCATGCACTAATTGAAGCTTCACAATGGTTTTCCCTTTTGTCACTCTTCTTCCATGTGAGGACACAGTATTCAAGGTGTCCACCGGGAAGAAGAGACTTTGACTTCCTCAGTCACTGAACCTATTGGCACCTTGATCTTATACTTCCTGTCTTCCATAACTGTAAGCAATAAATTAACACCATTTATACATTATCTAATGTGTTTAATCTAGAAGCAGGAGTGGACTAAGACATAGACTAAACAATGTATAAATTTAAATAAAAGTAT